TTGTATTTATAGGTTATTTATATTATATTTTTACATTTAGTTATTTATGGTTTATTAGTTATGCACACGGACTTTCTTATATCTTGGGACTTCTCCCTTCCGCATTCTCCTTTTGTGCGTGGCCGAACAAAAGGAAGCACCGTGCAATACCCAATGTGGCCACAAGAGGACCCCGCTTCCCCTCTTGCCGTGAACTTGGCAACTCACTGATAGGGCCTGACCTGTCTTGTCGGTCTCAGAGCCGGCCTGCATTCCGCGTGCTGTCAGGATCAGTGGGGGGTGGGGTTGGAAATCAATGTACGCTGCTTCAGATTCCCTGGACACATAATTTCAGAGAGTAGCTTAACTGGTGTGTGGAAGAACAACTAAATTCAAGGCCCAGGAGCAGTCTTCCACTTTTCCTGATATTATTGTCTTTTCTGGTGACTGTGGTCTTCTTCTAATCTGGCCAAAGAAGGATAGCCTCAGTTCAGTCATTTTAGCTTCCAGGAAGAGTTCAGGTGTGACTTGATCAAGAACCCACTTATTAGACTTTTTGGGAGGTAAAAGACGATGAGATTGGATTTATACCTTGCCCTTCACTCAGAGTGGTTAGCAAACTCTTTTCCCTTCCCCTCCCCACAACAGACACCCTGGGAGGTCGGTGGGGCTGAGAGAGCTCTGACAGAAACTGGTCTTTCAAGGACAGCTCTGGCAGAACTACGGCTTGCCCAAGGTCATCCAGCAGCTGCAAGTGGAGGAGTGGGGAATCAAACCCAGTTCTCCCAGATCAGAGTCCACGCACTTAACCACACCAAACTGGCTGTCACACCAAACTCTCCTCCATCACATTTCAAAGGAATCTCCCGGGAGAGCTTTGCACTCCACTGATAACAACTTGCTGGAGATCCCTGGCCCTAGGAATGTCCGGCTGTCCCTGGCCAGGGTCTTTTCGGTCCTGGCCCCGACCTGGTAGAACTCTCTGCCAAAAGACACCAGGGCCCTGTGGAACCTAGTGCCATTCCTCAGGGCCCGTAAGGCAGAGATGTTCCACCAGGCTTTTGGTTGAGGTCAGCAACGGTTGGTTGCATTGGCTGGCACCGTTCTCTCCTCTCCGCCCCCCCCCCGGCTTTATATTTCAAGTTCGCTCTCCGCCCCCTTCCCATTAAATGGCCGCGCAGTCCAGAGTTGGAATAGAAATGTGTTAAGTCGCCACCTTGGATCTTTTTACTTTGGTTTTAGTTCTTATCAAACTGCATATGGGAATTTTTTTAAAAATGCATCTTTGTTTTATGGCACCGTGCCCCTTGTACATCGCCCAGAGCCCGATAGGGCGATTAATAAATCAAAATAATAATTAAAAAATAATAATACTAATAACAACAATGGGGAATACTATAGTATGAATTAGCTTGATCTTGGTTGCCAGTGATGTGTTCTTACGCTTGAGAATCTTTTCTAGCTCCTTCCGAGCCGCCCTTCTCAGTCTCAAGCAGTGTTCCCTCTAAGCTGGGTTAGTGTGAGCTGGCCTCTGGCTGACACATTTTTGTCTTAGCTCAGGAAGGACAGCTCCAGAGCAAACTAATTTACGCAGCAGCCAAATCGCTGGCTCACAACCTTAATGCCAGCAGCTCACAAAGTAGAATTTTTGCTCACAAGACTCCACAGCTTAGAGGGAGCATTGGTCTCAAGT